ATATGGACGTCGAGAATGGAGATTGGCAGCCCGCAACCGATTTCGAATGGTCTGTGGGGACAGTCGACCTCTAAACATCTCAGCCCTGGTTCGTGTAGCCGGCAGAAATCTGCCACGCAGGTGACGTAGCACGATTTGACGGTCTTCTGCTCGTGACGTCACACGTGGACGACCCGACCTTGGGCGATCAGAAGTGGTGCCAGTTTGTTGTAGACGACCTCGCAAGTCATACACAGTATGACGGCTGCATCCCATTGCTCTTGCGACGTCAATAACTGATCTTCCCGGTTGCAACATGCCAACGGCACGTTCACGTTGCACATTTGACAATCTAGGCATTTCAAGTACCGTTAGAACTGTGGTTTAAAAGTGTTTTTTCAATTCTTGAGGCCAATGCAAACACGTGCGTATGAAGAAAACTTCGATGCGAAGATCACGTGATCGACTGTACGTGCAAAACCTGATTTGGCACTAACGGGTTTGAGTGGGTTTTGCTAACGTTTTTCTAGAGTCGAAAGATAGGGATCCCATTTCGGATACATAGATGTATCATCAGAGAAAAATTATTCATTATTTTTCAAATTACATTTTGTGAAGTTTCTTTTTTTGACTCAGTATATATGTGGTCTCCAAAAACACCAAATGTAAAATAAATTATTACGTAATAAAACTACTCAACATCTAAAGAACTTCAAATCATTTCTGAATGTATTATTATTTAAATCGCTTAATAAGTAATATTCAAATGATCATGTCCAGCCACTTTCCATGTATATATTTCTTTATCGATTTATTTATATATTCTCATGTGCCACCGTTTGTTGGTTGAAGAATAAACTTTTCTGTCTGTCTGTCTGTCAGTCTGTCTTGTCTGTCTGTCCACAAGACTTATGAAGCTCACATGGCGTTTTTGCGAGTGACTTGGTTAATGTCAATTTTGAGAATATTGCGTGTCAGATTATATACTTGTGGTTTAAACATATTTTTATTTTTTATTTTATTTTTTATTTTTATTTCGCCAAAGCATGCAGAAACCTGGATTGGCGAACAAGCCTAATGGTTTATATAAACGCCGCTCCGGTACACTAATTGTTACAATAGCTGGATAAATACATTTAATATACTGACAACAAAAGAATAATATTGAGACCAAATAACATATGGAGTAATGGATATGTTCATGTTGGTATTGGTTATGCTGTACTATGCTGTATTATATGCTTCACTAAATTAACAATTTGCCATGGTTACATGGAGGCCAACAATTGAAGTAGTGTGGACATCACTTTGTAGCAAAATATGACATGACATTCCGTGTCCCTCAGTTTAACTGGATCAGGTTCTCGTCTTGGGAGTGGGAAGGCCAGTCCATGACAGAGCATGGTGCGCGTCAGTACTGCAGTGTGTGACGTAGCGTTCACATGTTGAAATGTCAAGCCAGGAAAATGTAACTGCTTGAACAGAATGACACGGTGAATACGTGCCCCGATGTGGCAGTTAGATTCTCGTGCACGACATTCATTTGAAATGCTGGAAATGCTGGCTAATGAAATGCCCTCCAAATCAGTCAACCTCACGAGCGCAGCCAACCTGCGACAGATCCTGGCGTATCTCCTGGTCCAACATCAAGGTTGAGCGCACTAAACTTAGTCAAGATATTTACTATATTCGGTCTTCAAGCTGTGACACCTGTAGTTACCATGATGTGTTCTGACAGTCTACCTCTGACGGTCTACCTCTGACAGTCTACCTCTGACAGTCTACCTCTGACAGTCTACCTCTGACAGTCTACCTCTGACAGTCTACCTGTAACAGACTACCTCGGACAGTCTACCTCGGACAGTCTACCTCTGACAGACTACCTCTGACAGACTACCTCTGACAGTCTACCTCTGACAGTCTACCTCTGACAGTCTACCTCTGACAGTCTACCTCTGGCAGTCTACCTCTGACAGACTACCTCTGACAGTCTGCCTCGGACAGTCTACCTCTGACAGTCTACCTCTGGCAGTCTACCTCTGACAGACAACCTCTAACAGACTACCTCTGACAGACTACCTCTGACAGACTACCTCTGACAGTCTACCTCTGACAGACTACCTCTGACAGACTACCTCTGACAGTCTACCTCTGAACAACAACTGTCTGCTTGTGAAGGATACAGTCACGAATCTATTCGTTAGTTTGGTGTGACGTCACCAGCGGCACTCCAGGTCTAGGGTGATCTCCAACGATGACAGAAGCTAACCGGTTCACAGATTGTGTACTGCCTACCGACTACAGCCCATAGTGCAATTCCAATACACGTGCAATCAAAAAAGGTGGCCAGTAACTCTCTGCACGTACTTGTTATCGATTACACCTTTTCGCACGATTTGTGAGCACATCTTTCACGTCAGTCGACAAGACCATGGTTAAATATCATATGTCTCGTTGTCGTGTGTTTGGCACGTCAAGAAACTAAAGAGAATTAGCCCTTACAATTATTACAAACAATGTTGGTGTCAAGTTCGTAACTCTGTTGTATATACTTATAATAGCGTAAGTGTTAACTGAGTGGTACCTTCCACCTTATTCTGCAGGCACACTATCCCAAAGCTTATCCTACCCCAGGAGTTGGGTTTAAAATAATTCTGTCACTTTAGAATGTAAATTGTTAATTAATAATGATAGTTGGCATGGTATGAACACTTATATATGAGTTGAATGACAGTAACATTAACTTATTTAGAGACTAAGAGCAAATTCAATGGTATCATTATTTTACTGATTAGAGTGATCTCTCCCATGTAAACCTGTGTTTTAGTTACTATAAGTGTGTCAGTAATACCAAATTAAAATACAAATAAACCAGTTAATTGCTGGCTCACACCCATCTGCAACAACACGGATAGTTATCATACTGCTTTCATCCTGACCCGGGCTGGCTATATACTTCTTTCTTACCGTGCTATACACAACAATGATATAGGCGAAGCTTGCAAATACCTTGTACAAGAAGATAACTAGCAAGCTGAAAGGCTTTGCCCTAAAAGCTTAATTTAATAAAATAGTGTGTACCTCGGGGTAGTTTATGTTCATACATGCAGTTTGCTATTGGTTTAGTTTCTTTCATTTTTCAAATATGTTTTTTCTAGTTTATTTTTGCTTTTTGTCGTTTACTAAAGCTCCACTCAGCAGTATTCTACCTTTTGATGATCCGAGATCTGCAGATAGCCGAGTATTGCCCGGACAATCCGTTTCTTGACGTCGCCAGTATTGATTTACCCATTGGAAAACGAGAATATGCAGCAGTTAAATCGATCGCCCTGTATATCCCGTTATGTAAGATACACAAGATACACTCTTCAAACAAAAAGAAACGCATAGGGAAAAACATCAGGATATATATTGTGTTTATTCAAACGAGCATATCTCATAGCAGAATGAACCTAGTGAGCCACAATTGCTTACACAGATTGACAACTGTATCGTGAATAGTGTCATCACGTTGTCATGCCAGTCACTGCTCAAGGTGTGGCCCCAGGCGTTATAGTCAGTACCTAGTGTGAGCACCACGAGCTGCTATCACTGCTCGACACCTCCTCGGAACACACCGGATGAGACGTTGGATTCTTGCCTAGGGAAACCTCCGCCATTCCTCCTGTAACGCCACTGCAAGTTCTCCAAGCGTCTGGGGGACCCGTTGACGTTGACGTACTCGTCGATCCAGTTGATCCCAAGATGTTCTATGGTGTTCAAGTCTGGGGACCTGGACGGCCATGGCAAGATATTAATGTTCTCATTGACTAGGTAGGCCATTGTCACACGTGGCTGTGGCTTGCCGATGATGTAGGTGGAACACCCGGATGTACCTATCCTGAGCAGGGTGGTCACTCGTGGTCGTCCACTTCTTGGGCGATCTCGCGTCGAATTGAATGCTGTAAAACGGGCCCACAGACGAGATATCGTACTTTGGTGGACGTTATCATGACGTGCAACGGCAGACTGGCTTTCTCCAGCTTCCAGACGTCCAATAGCAATGTTCCGGTCAGCGGCTGTCAGTCTTGGCATTTTGCGTCGTTCATTCCTCATCCGCCGAAGGCCCGGGTTCGAATCCCCACATGGGTACAATGTGTGAAGCCCATTTCTGGTGTCCCCTGCTGTGATGTTGCTGGAATATTGCTAAAAGCGGCGTAAAACCAAAACTCAGTCAGTCAGTCATTCCTCATCAATATTTGTGATACAATGGAGTGAGGTGAGGTGAAATTGGGTTTAACGTCGTGCTTGAGGATATTTCGCTCATATGACGACGTGCATGCGTGTGTATCTGAATGTGTGGCTGCTTGTACTAGCCCAGACTTAAGATGGTTTTATAGTGCTAGCCCACTGAGATACCATGCCGCAGTGAAGCAGGAATACCCCACTCAGACACATTATACTGACTCCGAGCCGACCAGTCCTTGTTGTACCCATTAATGCCGAGCGCCAGGCAGGGACCAACAAGTACCATATTTTAACGTCTTTTGGTATGACGCGATCGGGGATCAAACCCGCGACCTTCCGCTCTCCAGGCGGACGCTCTAACCACTACACCACGGAGGCGGTCGATACAATGGAGTAAATAGCAATGTTTCGGTCAGCGGCTGTCAGTCTTGGCATTTTGCGACGTTCATTCCTCATCAATATCTGTGATACAACGGATCCGGAGTAAATGTATCGGGCTTTTAAAGTCATTATCTCTACTGATGAATTCCACTCATTTCACGTGCATTGTCATCAACATGTGCGTTGCATGCGAATTTCATTTCTTCACAATTGCTGACAACGGTAACATTACGTTTATTTGGTGGTGTTTGCGCGACAAAGCCGTTACAAATCACATACGTTACATCATTCAAACATAAACATAGTCTCTAGATCGATTGCCGATATTTATTATAGTAAATTCTCCATCCTCTATGCGTTTCTAATTTGTGAATAGTGTATAACAACTCCACATAGAGTATTTAATGGGCACGCCTCAACTCGCCATGTGACTAATTGTATCCAAACTGTAGCAGCACAAAACCGGGGACTGGTGTCAGACAGTACAGCTGGACTAGGGCAGGGTGTGCACACAGCTGGTGAGTATCACTGACACGTTTCCTGCTGATGTATTGTTACTAGTTTGTACTAGTAGGTTTTTAGCCACTGCATGAGGTGTGAACATAAACATTGTCATCGACCTAATAAAAATTGTGGAGACAATTATATAATGCACATTTGAAAATTGCACATTTAGTGATTGATATTTTAAAAGTCACAAAACGAGTGGGCCTTATAAAAAACATATGAAACACCGACATGTGACAGTATTGGTCGTTTCATTTTCTTTTCATTTTACCCGAACAAATGATACCACTTCGTCTCTCGTATTCTTGCTATTGTTTCGTTTCATGTTTGTCCTTTGCTCAATATATGCATTAATGTATTTTCTCACTGGTTAGCAAGACAATTTTTCACCGTGTATGTTTAAGATTGCCTTTTCTAGCCATATGGAAATTAAATCAACGATAAGACTCAGTATCGACAGTCGTTTTATTTACTGTGTGCACTGGCCGTCTATCAATCGTCGTTGACAAGACTGCGGATATTAACGCAATTTCCTCATTTAGCAAGGCATTAGATATGTTCAAAATACCATGCTTTTGGTGGAATACGTGATGAGCTTATTATGTCATAGTTTCAGTCGTTGATTTGCATGATACATGGACTAGTACATCATGCCTCTGTATAGGTGTCTATTATTGAGGACATATAATGGAATAAAATGATACGGACTTCCAAGTATATGTACAAAACAATTCTTAAACATGTCACTCGTGAACATTGGGGTTATAATTGGTCTTCAAAAAATATGTTGTCATTAAAAATGACTAACAGGCTTGCACGTATTTGATTGATGTCATCGTTTCCAACTGAATTGCACTCATCCGTATTCTACCTTTTGATGATCCGAGATCTGCAGATAGACGAGGAGTATTGCCCGGACAATCCATTTATTGACGTCGTCAGTATTGATTTACCCATTGGAAAACGAGAATATGCAGCAGTTAAATCGATCGCCCTGTATATCCCGTTATGTAAGATAGACAAGATACACTCTTCAAAACACGAAACGCACAGGGAAAAAATCATTGTTTCCATCTGAGTTGTCTGGTCCAAACTCGACTATTTACAGGCGGCCGACATATACCCCGAGAGTGTCACATTACAAACAAAGGAAACAAATCACTGATGCACGTTTTGTAAACACAAAATAAAAAATACCGTCAGAAAGTATAAAACGCCTGTGTCGATTAATTCCAAATTGACAATTTGAATGTGAGTTATTATACATTGACTATTCAATGGGAACATGCACACATGTCTTGATACTATATTCTCTTCTTTTCAGACAGTTCAAACGGCTTTCCTATTGCAATGGCTGACAAAGGTATTTTCTTATCCAAACATTAAGAAAGCAACATTGAATGTTCGGAACCAAGTTAAAAATTCATTATTTTCCCAACACATTTGGTTTCTGTACAGCATGCAAAGAATCACTTAAATGTTATGAAAATAGTGATGGGTGCTCCTCGTAGAGCAGACCATGGTCACCTTCTTTGCAAACACCTGGTGTCTTGTTAGGTACTCGGTGATGTTATTCCTGTTCAGAGTTTAAGGCTGTACGGAATCTGTTTTGGTGCACATTAGAGACGGATTATTCTCAGGCTTTGATGGAAAACAAATCTGATTGATCAGATAGTTAGGACTCGGGTGGTTCCTTGTCATTGGCTTAGCATGTAGTCAGCACTGAGTAAAACGAGAGCATTACAATCATGTCAATAAATCTTTAGCTTGTGATCACGTTAATGCGCACAATAAGAAGTAAGCTCAAAATTAACACTTAAAAACTATTATTTGATTTTACCACTTTATAATGGCAGTTTGTTAAAAGTACAGTGTCACTATAATGTGATATAATTGTTTAAAGGAGTGTGTAAGACGATGATTATTCTCCTCCACAGAAAATCCTACCAGTTTTCTGGAGGGGGAAATTCGAATGGTACTTTCTGGAAAGACTGGAGTAGGTAAAAGTGCCACAGGGAATACAATATGTGGATCCGGAAAGATGGAACAGATATTCCAAGCAATGGCAGAGGGATCTGGTACAAAGACATGTCAACAACATTCCTTAAATCGCTTTGGGCACGACTTGCAACTTGTTGATGTCCCAGGTTTTTGTAACACAAGCAGATCAGACGAAGACGTCAAGCAAGAGATCATGAAATGTGTGGGGATGTCATCTCCTGGAATACACGCCTTTCTTTTCATTGTGAGGATAGGTAGGTTCGGTGAAAACGACAAACATTCTTTGGAAACGTTTCTGCAATGCTTTGGAGAAGACGCTAAAAGATTCGTGATTGTTGTATTTACTGAAAAAGATCACTTGGAAGAATGCGGTGACACTATTGACAACTACATATCTGATTGTCCAGTGAAACTGAAGAAATTTTTATTTGATACAAGTCATCGCTATATTTCTGTCAACAACAGAGGAACGTATGAAGAGAAGGAGAAATTTACCAAAGACCTGATAGACATGGTAAAACACATGGTTGCTGAAAATGGTGGCGAGTGCTACACAAATGAGAAGCATGAGAGATGTGAAGCTGATCTGCCAAAAGCTGCAAAGAATGAAATACTTGACGAGAAGCAGAAGCTTTTCGAGGAGAAACTTAAACAAGAAGTCGTTGCCTATGAAGAAAAATTACAGAACCAGCGTCTTAAAATGCAAGAAATGGAGAAACAACTTGGAAGGGAAAGAAATGAAGAAGATCGGTTGAAAGAACATCTAAAAGCCTTACAACTGATACTAAAGGGGGAAGAAGATAAAAAAGACAGTCAGAACAGCCTGAGAGATGGTTGAAGTCATGGTCTAAACAGCAGCTGATACAAAAACTGCAAAGATAGACGATAGAATATTGCTGTGTTTCCGTGATTCGAACATACAATGTTCATCATAGTTTTCTTCCCCCTTTATGCCTGATGGAATCTGTGAGGGCAGATAACTCAGGGAGCTGTCCGTTGTAGAAGCCGACACTGGTTACTGTTTGCCGATGGCAAAGAATGGCCTAACACACTTTGGCAATGGCAGCCTCAACCGAAAAGTTACATTAGACAGAATGCAAAACTAAGTATCACTGATTTTCCGTGATTCATCCACCTATGAATGATAATATTTTTTATGCTCAGTGGAATCTATTGGGCAGATACTCCATACTCACTATGCGTTTACTTTTAGTATTTTAGTTTTTTGCCTCGTATAGCATTCGCCAGCAATATCACGTCAGGGGACACCACAACTAGACTTGACACATTGTACCCATGTGTTGGAACCCATGATGAGAGAGCACTTTATCCACCAGGCTACCCAACTGAAGAGGACATTTGAAGGATCTGTGATAAAATTGGTGTCTGCTGCCATTCCTTGTTTTGATTTGTTCCTGAAATTCCTGTCTTATCGGGTGTAATACTGCCTTGCATTTGCTTGTGTTTGTGACAGGTACCAGGAATGGGGCACAATTTGCTCATCGTTATAACGAACACCTTTTTTAGCTTGTGTGTTTGCTTGTTACACTCGGCAATATCGCTAGATGATATTGTGGCCTGTGAATAATGGAGTGTGGAGCAGATAATCCAGTGACTGACATCACATGTGTCACCAATAAACCTGGCCATCCGATCCAGTTAGTCACCTCCTAAAACAATAACGGGTTGCCACTGACTTCACTAGTGGATCATGATTTATAAACAAATGCTTAGTACTGAATCGCACATTGGATGGTGCTTTCGGTTTTAAAGCCCTGTCCAAGTGAATTCGAGTACACGTGTGTGTGTGTGTGTGTGTGTGTGTGTGTGTGTGTGTGTGTGTGTGTGTGTGTGTGTGTGTGTGTGTGTGTGTGTGTGTGTGTGTGTGTGTGTGTGTGTGTGTGTTTATATTACGTAAATATCAATCGCCAGTAGTAGCACCAATCATCATCTGCAGACGAATAAATGTACAAACATGTTTTGAATAATTGATCTTCGTATTACTGTTTTTATTGCCTCCTTTACAAGTCAGTGTGGACCTTTTAATTTGGTCCCCTAATCATCATCCAAGACACCAGTTTACTGGTACAAATAACAAAAAATTGCATATTATCAAACGAATTAGAAACACGTTATAAATTACGTCACAACCAATGATGTGTGGCAACAACTACCTAAAAGACTTTTCAGATGGGAAGATGCATTTGCATGTACGTTGCCAAAGAGATTGTGCACTTGACAATCAAAGCTATGAATAAACTCGTAAAAACAGTAAACCTTCAACAAGTGCACAGGCCCTAAATTAAGGTCTACATGTCCCACGTGGTCCCAAACCTTCCCTTTGATTGACCCAGCCCTACACCCAGGTCTATATGTCCCACGAAGTCCCACACTTTCCCTAAATCTACCAGGCCCTACACCCAGGTCTATACGTCACTAGAAGTCCCACACCTTCCCCTAAATCTACCAGGCCCTACACCCAGGTCTATATGTCCCATGTAGTCCCACACCTTCCCCTAAATCTACCAGGCCCTACACCCAGGTCTATATGTCCCACGTAGTCCAAAACCTCCCCCTTGATTGACCCCGAACTACACCCAGATCTGTATATCCGATGTAGTCCTACACCTTCCCCTTGGTCGATCCAACCCTACACCCAGGCCTATATGTCCCACAATTTCCCCTTCATCAACCCAGCCCTACACCCAGGTCTGTATGTCCGATGTCGTCCCAAACCTTCCCCTTGATTGACCCAGCCCTACACCCAGGTCTATATGTCCCATGTAGTCCCAAACCTTCCCCTTGGTTGACCCAGCCCTACACCCAGGTCTATATGTCCCACATAGTCCCAAACTTTCCCCTTGGTTGACCCAGCCCTACACCCAGGTCTATATGTCCCACATAGTCCCAAACCTTCCACTTGATTGACCCAGCCCTACACCAAGGTCCAAATGTCCCACATAGTCCCAAACCTTCCCCTTGATTGACCCAGCCCTACACCCAAGTCTATATGTCCCATATAGTCCCACACCTTCCCCTTGATCCACACAGCCCTACACCCAGGTCTATATGTCCCATGTAGCCCCACAACTTCCCCTTGGTCGACCCAGCCCAACACCCAGGTCTGTATGTCCGATGTAGTCCCAAACCTTCCCCTTGATTGACCCAGCCCTACACCCAGGTCTAAATGTGCCTAATAGTCCCAAACCTTCATCATTGATCCAGACCCAGCCCTACACCCAGGTCTATATGTCCCACATAGTCCCAAACCTTCCCCTTGATTGACCCAGCCCTACACCCAGGTCTATATGTCCCACATAGTCCCAAACCTTCCCCTTCATTGACCCAGCACTACACCCAGGTCTAAATGTCTCATGTAGTCCCAAACCTTCCCCTTGATTGACCCAGCCCTACACCCAGGTCTAAATGTCCCTCATAGTCCCAAACCTTCCCCTTGATTGACCCAGCTCTACACCCAGGTCTAAATGTCCCCATTAGTCCCAAACCTTCCCCTTGATTGACCCAGCCCTACACCCAGGTCTAAATGTCCCATGTAGTCTCAAACCTTCCCCTTGATTGACCCAGCCCTACACCCAGGTCTATATGTCCCATGTAGTCCCACACCTTCCCCTTGATCCACCCAGCCCTACACCCAGGTCTATATGTCCCATGTAGTCCCACACCTTCCCCTTGGATCGACCCAGCCCTACACCCAGGTCTATATGTCCCATGTAGTCCCACACCTTCCATGAGTTTGATCTACCCAGCCCTACACCCAGGTCTATATGTCCGATGTAGTCCCAAACCTTCCCCTTGATTGACCCAGCCCTACACCCAGGTCTCATATGTCCCACATAGTCCCAAACCTTCCCCTTGTTTGACCCAGCCCTACACCCAGGTCTATATGTCCCACATAGTCCCACACCTTCCCCTTGATTGACCCAGCCCTACACCCAGGTCTAAATGTCCCTCATAGTCCCAAACCTTCCCCTTCATTGACCCAGGCCTACACCCAAGTCTATATGTCCCATATAGTCCCACACCTTCCCCATGATCCACACAGCCCTACACCAAGGTCTGTATGTCCCATGTAGTCCCACACCTTCCCCTTGGTCGACCCAGCCCAACACCCAGGTCTATATGTCCCATGTAGTCCCACAGCTTCCCCTTGGTTGACCCAGCCCTACACCCAGGTCTGTATGTCCCATGTAGTCCCAAACCTTCCCCTTGATCGACCCAGCCCTACACCCACCCAGGTCTAAATGTCCCATGTAGTCCCAAACCTTCCCCTTGATTGACCCAGCCCTACACCCAGGTCTATATGTCCCATGTAGTCCCACACCTTCCCCTTGATTGACCCAGCCCTACACCCAGGTCTATATGTCCCATGTAGTCCCACACCTTCCCCTTGATTGACCCAGCCCTACACCCAGGTCTAAATGTCCCATGTAGTCCCAAACCTTCCCCTTGATCGACCCAGCCCTACACCCAGGTCTAAATGTCCCACATAGTCCCAGTCTCCAAACCTTCAGGTCTCTCCCATAGTCCCAAACCTTTCCCTTTGGATCGACCCAGCCCTACACCCAGGGTCCAGGTCTCCCATATGTCCCAGCCCTACAACCAGGTCTAAATGTCCCATAGTCCCACTTCCCTCATTGACCCAGCTCCTACACCCAGGTTGTGTCCCACCCTTCCTTCTTTGATCCCTACAGGTTTACCCCAGGTCTATATGTCCCATGTAGTCCCACACCTTCCCTTTGATTCCCATGACCCAGCCCCACACCCAGGTCAATATGTCCCATGTCCAGTCCCACACCTTTCCCCTTGATCAGACCCAGCCCTACACCCACACCCAGGTCTAAATGTCCCATGTAGTCCCAAACCTTCCCCTTGATTGACCCAGCCCTACACCCAGGTCTATATGTCCCACATAGTCCCACACCTTCCCCTTGATTGACCCAGCCCTACACCCAGGTCTATATGTCCCACATAGTCCCACACCTTCCCCTTGATTCGACCCAGCCCTACACCCAGGTCTATATGTCCCATATAGTCCACACACTCCTTTGGATCCACTCCAGCTCCTACACCCAGGTCTATATGTCCCATGTAGTCCCACACCTTTCCCCTTGGTCAAACCCAGCCTAGTAGCACCCCAGGTCCATATGTCCAATGTAGACCCCACAGCTTCCCCTTTGATTGACCTTCAGCCCTACACCCAGGTCTGTATGTCCGATGTAGTCCCAAACCTTCCCCTTGATTGACCCTGCTCTACACCCAAGTCTAAATGTCCCTCATAGTCCCAAACCTTCCCCTTGATTGACCCAGCCCTACACCCAGGTCTAAATGTCCCTCATAGTCCCAAACCTTCCCCTTGTTTGACCCAGCCCTACACCCAGGTCTATATGTCCCACATAGTCCCAAACCTTCCCCTTGATTGACCCAGCCCTACACCCAGGTCTACATGTCCCTCATAGTCCCAAACCTTCCCCTTGATTGACCCAGCCCTACACCCAGGTCTATATGTCCCACATAGTCCCAAACCTTCCCCTTCATTGACCCAGCACTACACCAGGTCTAAATGTCTCTCATAGTCCCAAACCTTCCCCTTGATTGACCCAGCCCTACACCCAGGTCTAAATGTCCCTCATAGTCCCAAACCTTCCCCTTGATTGACCCAGCTCTACACCCAAGTCTAAATGTCCCTCATAGTCCCAAACCTTCCCCTCTATTGACCCAGCCCTACACCCAGGTCTAAACGTCCCTCATAGTCTCAAACCTTCCCATGATTGATCCAGCCTTACAATCAGGTCAATATGTCCCTCATAGTCCCACACCTTCCCCTTGATCCACACAGCCCTACACCCAGGTCTGTATGTCCCATGTAGCCCCACACCTTCCCCTTGGTCGACCCAGCCCAACACCCAGGTCTATATGTCCAATGTAGACCCACACCTTCTCATGAGTTGACCCAGCCCTACACCCAGGTCTGTATGTCCGATGTAGTCCCAAACCTTCCCCTTGATTGACCCAGCCCTACACCCAGGTCTCAATGTCCCTCATAGTCCCAAACCTTCCCCTTGTTTGACCCAGCCCTACACCCAGGTCTATATGTCCCACATAGTCCCACACCTTCCTCTTGATTGACCCAGCCCTACACCCAGGTCTAAATGTCCCTCATAGTCCCAAACCTTCCCCTTCATTGACCCAGGCCTACACCCAAGTCTATATGTCCCATATAGTCCTACACCTTCCCCATGATCCACACAGCCCTACACCAAGGTCTGTATGTCCCATGTAGTCCCACACCTTCCCCTTGGTCGACCCAGCCCAACACCCAGGTCCATATGTCCAATGTAGACCCACAGCTTCCCTTTGTTGGACCCAGCCCTACACCCAGGTCTGTATGTCCGATGTAGTCCCAAACCTTCCCCTTGATTGACCCTGCTCTACACCCAAGTCTAAATGTCCCTCATAGTCCCAAACCTTCCCCTTGATTGACCCAGCCCTACACCCAGGTCTAAATGTCCCTCATAGTCCCAAACCTTTCCCTTGTTTGACCCAGCCCTACACCCAGGTCTATATGTCCCACATAGTCCCAAACCTTCCCCTTGATTGACCCAGCCCTACACCCAGGTCTAAATGTCCCTCATAGTCCCAAACCTTCCCCTTGATTGACCCAGCCCTACACCCAGGTCTAAATGTCCTCATAGTCCCAAACCTTCCCTCTTTGATTGACTCCAGTTTCACATCCAGGTCTAAATGTCCCACATAGTCCCAAACCTTCCCCTTGCTGACCCAGAAGCTCTACACCCAGGTCTATA